GTCGCGACGTATAATTCGCAAAACAGTTCGCCAACTGAATAAGTAGCATTAAGGGAGGATAAGGCGCGCGTTTATCCTCGCCGCGTTGAAAAATAAGGCGCGAGAATCCGTGGTAACCACGTTGGTTAGAATCAAAGTTGGAGAAGAATTTCAGGTACAATCTGCCGTCGCTGTGCAACGGTAATGCCGTGCAGCGGAGAGCTAAGTATCTTGTAATCCCTCGCTTAAGATCAGGAACTTCCGGACGCTAAATGCGACTTACCGTTAGCGGCGGCTTTAACGTCATGTGAAAATTATAAGAGGTACTTCGATGGCGCGTAAGATAAGCGCCGCCGCGGAAGAAAAGCCCTGAAGCGTGGAATTTAGGACGCGGAGAACTTAAACGCGAAGAATCATATATTCAATCTATATATCAGTGGATCGATGCGTGCCGTCACATACAGGGCGTACCTGGCATCACGCGCTTACCACATATCTCTCTCCAGTGAATTTAAAATTTGATTTCAATTTAGCCAAGTTTTCCGTTATGACGTAGTCTCTCCGTATATATCTAATTTTTAATATTTATCTAAAATATATATATATATATATATATATAATTTTACAGAAATATGTAATTCTCAAAATTGTTTAATTAATTAGTGCCATTATAATTAATGTTATTATAATTATTAAGATATGATCATATGTATTACATCTTTTGAATGTAATGAAAAGTACAAGAAAGATGTTAAATTTAAAAACAGAGTTAGATTTTTCAATAACCATATTATTTTGAAATATAAAAGATAACCTTTAGTACACTAGATTGAATTTAAATAGCAGAATTCATTATAATAATGTTCTCCCATTGCGAGATAATATGAAAACTGTCTTACTAATTGATTTTTTGTTAAAAACAATGATGTTACAAGAATATATGTATTATACACATTTCGTTTAAATCTACTTAGAAATTATCATGTAAGAATTTTCTTTATACCATATGTTATTAACAATAATAATTGCACACATCGTATTGTGCATATAATTCTAAATATCACAGAGCAATATAAACTAATTGACTAATTGCTGGAAACGATTCAATTTCAATATTTATAACCTTACATTTTTATTAAAATAATGTTTTTACAATTATTATCGTATGGCATTGGGAATTCGACATATTAAAGTCATATTTACTGCTAAAATACATTCTAGGATTAATAGGCAAAAGAGTCTCGTATCGAGTATTACATGTTTGCGTGGTATTGATAATGGCTATAAAACCGCGTTGTTGGATCGATATAATGGCTGTCTCGAAAGGTCTGCCCGTACCGTATTATCGTAATTCATAAGACACAAATCTCGTTGTTGTATGAGACTCGCATCACATTGTACTCACCTCGATATCGCTCATTATTAATCTTTTCTAGAGATATTAAACAAAGAAAAAAGAATGTATGTGGAAAGCACCACAAGCAAACACTCCGTGTCGTCGATTCACGATAATATGGCGTACCTCGTCGACAGGAAACGCCGGGCCCAAGATGTACACAAATGAACATGCAACATCCGGCAGCGTTGCTATGGATATGGAAATGGCGATTCAAGCCTTAAGCCCGTATCAGACATCAGACTACTGTGACGTCCCGTCATTTTTCAAAACCATATTTCAACTAATAATTAAGTACCGCATCTATTTCTGCATTATGCCTATGAAATATAAAACAATTATTTAACCATTTGCCCTCATTTCCATTATTAATCAATTTTACTAATTGCTTATTGTTCTAGTTTCATATAGTTATTTAACGTAGAAATTAACTATATTTTAGTTCCTTTAGTAGTAATAATCGATTGCGCAAGGAATTCAAGGTTCCTTAGACCGACCAATCAGAAGGCTTTATTTAAAACTAGGCAGCTGCGCAGCAATAGTATATAAGATGCAGATTTTCACCGTCAAGCCAGTAGTACCGGTAGTATCAGTTGTAGTACCGTCAATCCCGCCGATCATTCCAACGCATAACTATATGCGTGTCTTTCATTATACAGTAATATTCTCTTAGTCTCTTACCGTCTTAGTCTCAGTCTCTCAGACGCAACCGCGTGTCTTTCATTTTCATTCGGTCAGTCAGATAGATTCATAAGCTCAATCTGTACCCAGTTAGCCAAGTCTGTTCTAACAGATTTTGGCAAGGTCTGCTACAAATTATTGTCAGCAAAAAGGCTACGAATTGAGTACAAAAGTTGTTATTACCGATTAAGCTGGCAGATTGACGGCAAAAATTGAGCAAAGGTTGGGACACGATGCCTATACAGGATAATTCAAATATTGAACTGGTTTTTGGAAAATCGAACAAATAATTGTTCGATTTTTACTTATTCGGGCAATTCCTCTCCAAAAAAATCTTTAATTTTATAAATCAAATAATTTAAATTTACCTATATGTTTTAACACATTAATATGTATTATTATATATTAATACTGTAACTGATCTAATTTTTGTCGTCGAAAATTGCCGTAGATCTGCTGGGCATTTGGCGCAAATTTGTTGTCGGTCTGCGGTTGACAAACCTGCTCTCGATTTGTTGCGTCAATCTGTCGTCGCACTGCTAGTGACAGATCTGCTCTGGTGTTGTACCTAATTTGACATCAGGATATGATCTCAACTTTTGGTTGCAATTGGAGCGCACTCGAGGACACAGTAGGCCCTGAATTTGGCAGCCTTGTTCCACAGGAAATTGTTTGCCGTTTGTTAACAATCCGCAAGCAAATGGTTAGCTAGGTATAAGTCAAGAATAAAGACTTTGAACATACACCTGTCTACGTCAATATAGCCTATCTCATCTACGACCGAGATATGTATATGAGAAAGGAAAGGCTTTAAGCAAGTATGAAGTATATTGAGCTAAAAGAAAGATTACTTGCCACAACGCAGTAAATACCCGCAATTACTAACACCCCTTATATTCCCAAGTTTATTTCAACAATTGACTGACAGTCCATTTGCCCCAAACCACTATCTCAGTTCCTATTCCGTCACTTTTAACAATAAAAGAAATCCCTGTCAAGCATTTGCACGATGCTGACAATTTCCTAGTCAGTCAACTTTAATAATCCACATTCTACCTTCCTGCAATCACTTGAAACATCCTTATTATTCTTACTATTATTATTATCAATACTAGACAAATTTAGATTTTGCTTAGCGGCTATTCTGCTGTTGTCACCCGGACGTGGTCCAACTCTTGAAACCCGGTTGCCGAGGTTTATTTCCTCCTCCCTTTTTCCGAATTTCCATCGTTGTCGAGCACATTGTGCCCTTGACGACTATCGTCTATCGAGCTCATAGTGAGCCCTTGATTGACGACAACTCTTGAAACCCGGTTGCCGAGCTTTATTGCCCTGACGACACTCCTCCCTTTTTCCGAATTTCTATCGTTGTCGAGCACATTGTGCCCTTGACGACTATCGTCTATCGAGCTCATAGTGAGCCCTTGATTGACGGCTGAAATTAGATTCTGCGCAATTTTCTGCGCAGACGCTCGACGCTTAACGCTGCCATGTAAAGGTACCTTTAGACTTATTACCAATTTTCTAGACGGTAATCTGGATATACATCTAATTGCCCTACTTGAAAACCCTGAAGACCCTCAAAATTGAATATATCTAATTACGCATGCGTATATTCCTATATCTAACACCCAGTAAAATCACTCTAGTAAAAGGTTAGTTCCGTGCCTAACGTCATTCCCCTAGAATCCACCAGATCAGTCCTAGCTCTCGGCGTCACTGGGGTATAGCCGGTGGAAGAAGGTTGCCCTATAAAAATAGAGAGCTATCCTTTTCTCACTAACTGAGGTATAGTAAGAAAAGAGCATTATCGAGACGTAACATTCGATATAATTTTTAAATTTTGGTGGCAGCGGTGGGATTGCCAAAAGGACTGATAAGGATTTTCTTGAATGAAAAGAAGGTTTCGGAAATTAATCCTTTTCTTCTATTTAAAGAAATATTCTTAACTTCAAAACAAACGACAAATACAATTTAAAAATCACCCAACTCGTCGCCCACGAGCGTAGTGGTAGGCAATTGTCGGCAGACAAAGAGCGCTGCAGCAGTTGTAACTGGCGCTATCGAGAGGCAACAAGTTGTATTGAATTCTTTTTATATTTTAAATTGTCGCCACAGGTGTAGCAACAAACAATTTTTGGCAGACGAAGAGTGCTGCAGCAGTTATATTTGTCGCTACCAAGGGGCAACAACTGAGCTGAATTTCTTTATATTTCAATTCTTTTTACAAATGCCGAAAAGGGCCGGACGCAAGGTTCAAATTAAAAGGATTAAATTCCAAATCAATAAGGCACTACTGTTCTCCCAAGATCCTCTTCCCCTTCTCACAAAATCACAAAACCTAACTAATAATTCAGATAAGCCTAAACCCGTCGAAGCTAAACCTACTAATTACAAACTAATACCAATTGAATTTGAATATAAATATCCTGATTATAGAACAATCAAACGCACAGATCTTCGTCGTAAAATCTACAAAATTCGCAAATTATTTGGTCCAGAATAAATTAACCAAATATATAAAGGTTTAAACTTTCAAAATATTTTCTAATACAATACTACGTGGAAAATTAATTAGTAACCATGCATAACACACGATCACAGAGTTCTAAACCTCCTTCTGAAACTAGCGAAACCTTAACACATTCTGAATTAGAAATCCTTAATCAAAAATTAGATGAAAAAGAAAAAATGCTCAAAGAACATGCCAAACAATTACAAACCAAACAAGAAGAACTAAGGAAGTTACAACACGAAATCGAACAAAATAGAAATGCGAATTCTGGCAATAATCAATATGAATCAATAATAAAAAAATTTATATGAACAAATCTCAGTTTTAAGTTCTTTGCCTGAACAAATGAAACGATTAAATCAACGCATTGATAATACCCAATTTTCTAATCCACCTCCTAATCAACAAACGAATTATCATACTGATTCCCCTTCTGCACAAAATCCCCCTCGTAGACCGAGCCCTTTAGATACAACCTTCCCGATCCGCTTTAAAGACGTAGTTGACTCTATCCCTAAATATGATGGACATAAAATGTCAGTTTTCTATTTTAGTAAAATGTGCGAACGGGCTCTTGAATTAATTCCATACTACTGTGGGCCGCCAAGATGCGGGTCGCGCTACTGTATCGCGGATTGTGTTTAATGTGACGACCTACGGCAGCCACAATATCCATTCGATTATTCATGTTTATTTGGATTGACAATATGGATTAGAATGTAATGATTTCAATAAACTGATAAGTACAGATTCTTATAGTCAATAACATAAATTTAATTAAAATAGCGAATAGAGTCAGCGCGGGAGTTAGTGCGCATACCTTATTTAGATTTATTCAACGATAGCAACGAGTATCGATTTGTGATATTACGAACGTTTCGGTCCTTTTTAGCGTGGTTAATAAAATTATTGAAAAAATTATAAATTATAATAAATAGACGCAAACGTGATATATAACGCAACGTATAAAAGCGCGATAGTCATAATCGGAGGAAACATATGAATCTATTTCATCAAGAAAAAAACTTAGTTATTCGAATGTTGCCAAGGTCGATTAGGCATGATCTTGATGTAGATGTTAAAGAGTCATATTCTCAAAGTAATTGACCATCCACTCTCATCTCTGGCTGGCCGGCCAGAAAGTTTGTGTGAGTCTATCCGGATTATTTTGGATATATTTAAACATGCTCATGCAGCAATATTCACGCACTTCCTGGAATCAGCAAGGACGGAGTAAACTCTCCATTATGGATCATGAAATATGTATATTTTAAACCAGATAAATCAAAAATAAATTAGATAGAAACCATATAATAAGTCAGAGAAAATAAAAATAGAAAACAATAAGAGCTAAAATTCAGATAAAATTAAGCTAAGTTAAAAACCGTCAATGAGATAAAAAAGTAAGAAATTAAAACCGAGAAAATTCATTGTTAGAAATTCTCTCTCACAGAGGAGACCTGCCAGTTCACTGCGAGCACTCGTCAGAGATGGACCACCTGATTCTCTGATTAGATAAATATCAAGAGCATATGTTGAGATATTTGGCACGAAGTTAATTTCTAACAATGAATTTTCTCGGTTTTAATTTTTTACTTTTTTAATTTTTCTTACTTTTTTATCTCATTGACGGTTTTTAACTTAGTTTAATTTTATCTGAATTCTAGCTCTTATTGTTTTTTATTTTTATTTTCTCTGACTTATTATATGGTTTTTATCTAATTTATTTTTGATTTATCTGGTTTAAAATATACATATTTCATGATCCATAATGGAGAGTTTACTCCGTCCTTGCTGATTCCAGGAAGTGCGTGAATATTGCTTCATGAGCATGTTTAAATATATCCAAAATAATCCGGATAGACTCACACGAACTTTCTGGCCGGTCAGCCAGAGATGAGAGTGGATGGTCAATTACTTCGAGAATATGACTCCTTAACATCTACATCAAGATCATGCCTA